ATGCTTCATGCTGAAGCAATTAATAGTGACACAAGTATCTCCTTGTACACCAGAAATAAGGGAGCCATCCCATAGGCTAATGCAGGTTGAATGCATTCACTTTGCATACTATACCATCTGCTTGTATTACAGGGTGATAGACTACTACTGTAAGTGGTCAAGCTGGGCAATTGGTTTGTCTCCATAGAATGTTCATGTCTTCAAAACAGTGACTGCCCCCTTGCTCTTCAAGAACATGCTTTAGACTCTAAAGTTTAGAGTAATAAAGATACGGAATACTTGTCTTCTTTGAGCTGCACAGTAGTATACCCGCACAGGGATATCGTCAGAGACAAACAAATAGAGAACAATGGAGATGATGCAATTCTTCCTGTAAACAACTATGACTTGTATATGTGAGCAGATGATGCACTTTTACTGTATTTCGTAAATTCACTGCCTATTTCATTGGATTGAGAAACGTTTCTTTGAATACATGCCAATCTCACTCTGTCTCTCTTCACAGTTGCAGAAAGAGCCTGGACAGCAGGTTCAGTTGAAGGCCCAAGCACTCATCTACCCCGTACTGCAGGCTCTGGATCTAAACACACCTTCCTATCAGCAGAATCAGGACATGCCCATTCTGCCCCGCTACCTAATGGTGCGTTTCTGGAGTGAGTACTTCACCAGCGACAGGGCCTTTTTCAGAGCCATGATGGCCAACACTCACAACAGCCCTGAGTCTTCGAGCCTGCTGAAGTTTGTCAACTGGAGCACTTTTCTGCCAGCCAGATATCATAGAAAATACAACTATAGTGCTCCTACTGTGGTGCAGGGAGAGGAGGCATTTGGGAAGGGGGGAGCATCTCGATCTCTCACTGACCCGAGAGCATCACCCCTGTTGGTTCCAGACTCTGCCTTGCACTCTCTGCCAAAGGCCTACATTCTGACATGTGAGTATGATGTTCTCCGGGATGATGGGATCATGTATGCCACACGGCTCCTTTCTGCTGGTGTTGAGGTGACGCATGAACACTATGACACGGGATTTCATGGAGGGCTAATGTTCACTGTGTGGCCAACTGACTTCCTGATTGGACGTCGTATGACGGAAAACTATATCAAATGGCTCAAGGAAAACTTGTAAAAAAAAAACTCTTGACTACCAGTATTCATTCCAGTTTTCCCACACAATGCACCAGCGTTTGCTTAGGTGCAAGGGTTTTATTAGTTATTGTTATTATAAGATATTGTTGTTAATTTCTTATTCTTTGGTCATCCTAATTTTCTGTCAATGTATCAGCTTCTTCTGTTTTTCCATTCATGTATTGAAATAGTTAAGATACCAGCACAAAAGCAGGTCTCAATTGTTCACATAGGTGGGTTTGAGCAAAAGCGTATATTCCGTGAACAGTGAGTACAGCTGGTACTTAAAACGTAAGATATGTTTGATGTGTTTGCAAAACTATAACTCCTGCTTAACAATTCCTAGCATTGCATGAAAGATTGGCAAGTTGTATTGTGTTCAAAATAAGGAACAATAGCCCTTAGTTGTGTAACCTGTATCAATAAAGGTACACAGGGGGATGCTTGCTGGTGTAGTTGATGATTTAAAATGCAGTCTAAATGGTATATTTATGTACAACGTAATTATTTTGTAATCGCTGCACATCAGGTCTACACACAATGATATTTGATGAGCCAGATTCCACGCAACAAAAAGCAACAATGTGCATACACAGCAAACAATATTAACCAATTTCATTTACACATGTTTGTGATTGAATTTAGCTGAATTTAATGTAGAAAAATAACAAAGAATCAAATAGCAAAAGTCTAAAATTATCAAGTGAGTTCTGTATAATAATATTTACAGTATAGGGGTGTGTGTGTGTGTAAATGGAACCTTTTTGTTAACAATAAATAAGCTACTATAAGTCCAAATATAGACCTGCCTTTGTGTAATGGATATAGGCAAATTAAGAGAAAGCTGCAAGGGCCAGCTTTACGATGAAATGTTACATTTACAGTGTCTAGCCAAGTTTCTATGGTTTGAGTAGGTACTACTTCAGTTTATTACCATTTTTTGTTCGTGAAACTCTGCTCTAACAACATTCAGAAAAGGAAAATACTGGCATCTATTTTCCCTGTGGCCCAACAATCATATGAGGCGGCTTGAAACGATTCCCTTGTCCCTCTCTTTTATCTTCTTGATCTTTCTGTCTGTGGGCATGGTAACCCTGCAAACTCTCAGCACATGGCACAGCTATCTGAAAGATAACAGGGAGATAAGAAATAATCCTGTAAACAAAGATCTCTGAGCTGTTTCTTAATGTCTCACAGTTTCTTAAGCTTTACTTTTTAAAATGATAACAGTTGATAATAAACAAATGGAAGTCAACATTGAATAAGTCAATCAGAATCAAAAGACTAAAGTTAAGGGACCTGCCTGAAGAGGGCTATAGGTGGGCGCTGGTCTCTAACAGAGTTATTTTCGGCAAAACTGAAGCACTGCTCAATTTTGGAATCATTCCTGGACAACTTATGATTTGAATCACTTTGAATTTCAATGTTGTCTGTCAATAAACTCACTTGAACTGCAATTACTGATCAATTGTATATGTGTTTGCTATTAACAAAGAGAGAATGACATACTAGAATAGACGGAAAAGAGGAACACAAATGTTTTGGCATGTTACAAGATACATTTAATTTAGTGACCTCGAACAAGATGCTGTGCTATGAGGATATTTTGGATAGGCTGACTCGGATACAACAAATCCTCTTGGAGCCACAGGTTAAGCAGGACTATGTCCACAACGTACGACTACATGCTCCATCTAGGTCGGAGGTTGTAAAAAAAAAAATAAGCAATTATTATATCTCTGGATAGCAAAGAGGATGATGCATGAGTGCAAACAAATCATTTATAGTATGATGCAAATAGGTCACCTCGTTCGTCAGGACATGTTCAACAACCCTTCACGCCTCCTCGGTAAAGAATGGATTATTTATGTAATGGTCATATTCCCTTTATAAGCTGGCCTAGTGTGCAAGTATGTACTTGTATAGGTGCGTATACACATACAGTGTATTACTATTAGTAATCCTTCTGGACAGGAAATGGTGGGACTGTTTCTCTGAATTCCTTCACTGCTATGGAGGGCTAATAACAGTAACGTGAGATGGATTATGACTAATGATTCCTTGAAACTGTTAATATTTAGTGGTTTTACACAGATTATACCTACATACAGCACATAAAATGCACACATATTTACTCACACAGAAATGTGCGTAAGCATAAGTAAGCTTTCACATACTGCTGATGCAAATAAGCATAAATGTAACACGATTTCTCAAAGGCTTGCTGCAACACTGTTCAGCTTGAAAATATATCATCTCACATATTCAAAGGTCAAGTACTGAACGATATAAAGACCAAAGCTAGTCAAGGTACGTTTATTCTCTTTCTTTTACAAGGGAAGTTTTGTTTTAATTCCTATAATAAATGTTCTGCTGATTTTTCTCGTCTGCTCTGTCTGTGCAGCCCACTATTGAACTTTACAAATGCTTTTTTGTGGTGCTTTTCCAGGAGGGATGCCAGTGTAAATTACATGAGGCATAAAGCATGTTTTGATAAGTTCTGGATGAGAGAAAGCACCTGATCCTGTCTGTTGTATGACAGCAAAGCCCTGTCAAGTGTGGTTGATAGGAAATCAGGGCCTAAATAAACCTTAAAGGTCACTGGCAGAGCAATATAAAAGGAAGCATTCGTGAGAGATGAGACATTCAGATAATTTCAACTGTAGACATAAATATTATAAATTGTAAAATATATTATGTTTGTTTACACAGCAAACTCAAACCTTTCATTTTTCTATTGAAAGACTCTGACTAAGGAAATTGCAGAACAAACCTTGGTACTCTATAACAATGAAAAACGTCTAGGAAATGAAAATGAATATCAGGAAGGAAGCGAAGGTAATGCATAATTAGCAAGCAGGGGTCACTATGGGAACCAGAGATCAATTCATTAAACTGTTTTTAACGGTGATCCTCTCTTAATATGTGTTGATGATAACAAATACAAAATGTTTGTATTCGAGTTGTAGAAACCGCCTTTAAAAAAGAAAATGCAGATAGGAAAGATATAAACTGCTAAAAAAACGAAAGGACTAAACTTAAATACTCCAATTTCTCCTATTTACCAAAGCATTGGTTGGCAGTGTTCAGTAACAAAAGGTTTTAATGATGGTAAACAGTATGGATACGGATTAACTGAGAAATTAATTTTGGAGAATTCAACCAAAAGCATGGATTGGATTTCCAGATTATTAATATTAATGCAGATATTGGACACCTATAGCTCAGCTCAACAGGAGTCGTGGAGGGACAGTAATGGGGTGATGTGATCATATGCATCACAAATCATTAGGACAGTCCTACAATTTGTGTTGCTTGAACTCTAATGCAATTGAAAGTCAAAACTTCTTATTTGAAAAGTCCATCCAAAGTATGACAGACTTGTGTTGCTGATGAAAAGCCCAGAAAACCAAAAGTAGGATGTGTCTTTTGTGTCTGCATTAAAATTGACAGATTGAATTTCAATTACATCATGAAAAAAAGATAATCTTCTTTCTTTTTCCAGATCCAAGGACAGAGGGTTTCGTATTCATAGTCTGTATAAAGCCCCTTGGGACAAATGTAACATTTTTTATATAGGGCTATATAAACATGAAAAAAAGATCTGATCGATTGCTAGATTAATTCTGACTGTGACTTGCATTGAAGTGTGCTGCTTTAGCCAACATTATTATTATTTGTATTTAAAGATAATGCATATTTGATCATAAGTCACAAAGAAAACAAAAATGCCTCGATCCATCGCCAAAGATAATAGATTTTCTTTACAATGTATTAACCTTCCAAAAAAGAAAAGGAAAAGACACATTTCTTTTTTAGTTATTTTGTATTAGTTTTTGAAGTAATATAGTACAAATGACAATACAAGCCTTGAATCTTGAACAATGCTGACTCTATAAAAATGAACCTCCAGTTTCAACAGTGTTTTACCACAAAATACAGATCATTTTTCAAAAGGAGATATTCCCATTTGACTATCTCAGAAGCAGGGTGCATTGAAATAGGACATCCAGCTGACTGCTCTTGCTCTGCATTACAATGTATAGATCTTATTAACGTGTTGGTCCCCTAGCCAAAAGGCTCTAGACTTTCTAAATCAATATTGATGCAAAAAATGAGTGTCTAACAAATACAGATACAAATAAAAACAGGAACCCATACACATACTGTACATTATTATACTTAACAGAGTGTTAATACAAAAATAGCTACAGGCTCTACTCATCAAATGCATTTACAGCGGTTGTCTTACATTACTTTATTTGGTCAACAATAAAATAAAATGTAATATATATACACCATAATAAAATATCCACATTATTTATCAGTATAACAAAATACACGTAAAGAAGGAGCTGATTCACATGATGTTTCTTTTATTCAGGGACACTATGTTGAATTTTTTCAGGCTGGTTCTCTTTGCTGCTCTGTCTTTCTGATCAGCTTCCTGAGCTTAGCCAATAGGAGCTTTTTGAATTTGTCCCCCATGAGGAAGTAAAAGACAGGGTTGATGACACTGTGCAAGAAGGCAAATGGTCTTGTGATGATGTACAGGCTCTCTATGTTCATCCTTGTACAAAGCTGCAACCCTGTCCAGTCGTGCTGAGATGCTATTCGGACATTTCTCAGCACATGGTAGGGTGTGTAGAGAAGCAGAAACATGATAGCGGCCGATACAGCAACCCTGAGAGGACGCTTATACGTGCTTGTCCGGCGCTGTATGGCCCTTTCCTGGATATGGAGTAAATGTGCAATTTGGTACGAGAAACCACACAGTCCAAGCAAAGGGAGAGTGTAACCAGTGAGGGTAAGCCCCAGGCTGTAGCCCAATGTATGGACCTCTCCTTTCAAGCTGGCAAAATCCTTGCAGCTACTCCAGTTTCCTCTCTGAAGATCGTGGACCATCAGTGATATCATCGGAGCAACTTCCACATTAACAGCTAGCCAGCTCAGCCCTGACACGATCATGGCTATTTTCGGCCTCAATAGGTAGTGGTTACGTGTTGGATGTCTTATGAGCAGGAAACGGTCCATGCTAAGCCAAACCATAAACAGTATGGATGAGTAAAGATTGACATGCAGGACATAGCGGTTGATAATGCAACCATAGGGACTCTTCTCTGGTTGGTCATTTGCATAGAGGTACGAGAGGCGTGGAAGTGTGCAGAGGAAAATAAGGTCAGAGACTGCCAGGTTGAAGAGGTAAATATTGCAGCTCTGCCACTCCTGCAAACAACATATATAGCCAAGTACAACCAAAAGGTTGCCAGGGAAACCAACGCAGAACTCAACGGCATAAAACGGTGACAGGTAGTACCTCTCCAGGACATCCTTGATCTTTGTACAATCAAGCACCTAGAGAAAAGACGGTAAGAGAACAGAAAAGAAAACAAAGAAAAGGACAAGAGAGGGGATAGGAAGGGGAGTCAGATGAGGGAAGAGAAAACAATGGGTGAGTAACGATAGAAACAAAGTCCTATATTGGAAATGTAAACTTTAAGAACAATGTTTAGTAATGAATTTCAGTAGAAACTAATATTTGGTTTAGAACTAAACACATTATGTTATATGTGTATAAGACTTACCATGCTGTAGTTGTTCTAGTAGTTGTGGGTAGGTGAATAGAGAGTAGGACCATGAGCAGGTGCAGTCACTATCTGCAGAGTGGACATGTAAACACTGAGATGTGAGGGTACTGCTGCCTTTAATACATACTGGCTGAGAATACAAAAGGCTGTTTGAATGTGATTTGCATATAAAATATGGAAAGATGATGCAAGCTAAACAAATCATCCTAGAAGACTTAATAGGTTACTTACAGTAAACCTATCAAACTGAAGCCCTGTCTGGTTACAGCTGGAGTTTGTATTAACATGCAAAATATGTCCTATTTCATCTCTAGAGGAAAAGTGCAACACTTAAAACACTTTTCAGATTTGAACTAGATGTCGTACTTATTGTCATTACAATGCAATATCCACATTTAAATATGTTAAATTCACCTTTTATAAATCAATACTTGTATAGAGCCAGCCTAAATGTTGATTTTTAAGCAACCAATTGAGACTCCATCCATGCACTTGGTTAAGACACACTGTATCTTTTTTTTTTACTTCATGGCCTTGATGCAAGTCTTTTTTGTATTGTGATAAAGAAAAGGCCCTAAATGTGAAATATAATATAATTTCTGACCCTTTTAAGAATTTTAATCTAGAGTTGTACTTACAATTTCCAAAGAGCTGAAGTCTCTACCAAATTGAATCGCAAAAAATGAACAAAATGAAATATGTGGTTGTAGGTTGTAGGTAAAACTGACACAATCTAAAAATAAATTCAGGTAGCATTATCTTCCCTTGAGGCCAGCTGTCCAAGCATGTTTTTCTTCTTCCAATGTTTCTCTCGCTCTGCTTATGAGAAAGTACTTGTTGAGGGATGCATTTCCACGTACAGTTGCAAATTATTTAAAGTCAGACTTCTTCTTAAATATGACAATGACTCAATGACTACAGCACTTCCTTTCTTGTGAACAACTACAAGAACATTTCTTGACCACAGTCTCGGTACTTTCCATGAGCCCTTTATACTTTCATTTATAATTAAACACAAGCATGTTTTTCTTTACTTCTGAGACTTCAAGCTCAGGTGACTGAAATATGTATAGTATTGTGTGATCTACAATATAAACTGATTTAATTAGGTAAAGTGAGTGATTTAAAAATATAGAAATAATCACAAAACATGTTTTTACTAGATCCAGGTCCTAAAAAACTCTGTCTCTTCACTCTGTAACTAGATGTTCAAATATTTTTGCTTTTTAAAAAGGTTTGAACATTGGTGTGGAGTTAATTTGGGTTGTTTATTCGTTTATTTTCTATTTATTTATTTCAATCAATAAGCATTAAGCTACTTGTTTAGTTGTGCAGGTTATCATGTAAAATAGGTCTCAGTTGGGAGGGAACCTTGTTTCCAGTATTTTGTTTCCCTTGGGACTCATTTGATGAGGGACCGCCAGCCATCTTGAAAAGGTCAGCGAAATGTTTGTCATGGGCCGCCGGTGAGTGTTTTGGTTTAAATATGTGTTTATGGTGACAGACTTTTGTTGTGTATGCTTTAAGTAATTTGTGTCTCATGTGTTTTCTTTTAGGTTGATAACCTAACTTTGTATGGAGGAAGCTAACTTTGTGATGCCATGTGCTACTATGAATGGAGAAAGCACATTGAATAAAACAGCAATTCTACACTAAGCTGAGTAGTCACGCCATCACTAGGGTCAACATCGGTGACCGACCAGCTGGCTGCATCGCACAGCTTGCCATGAGAGAGACGGCGAGACTGCCCCAGTTTACAGCCATGGAAGAGGAGCGCCGAGTCCTAGAGGAGGACAGTTACGTGGATGACATCCTAACATCTCACAATGACCCAGAGAGAATGAATGACATCACCAACCGAGTGGAGGAGATTCTCAACGCTGAAGGCTTCTCCCTCAAGCCTTGGATCCGGTCTGGTCATAGAGCCGTAACTGGAACCAGTGGCGACAGGAGACCTGTGTTGGAAACCCAAAACTCTGATACTGCCGAACCAGATGCGGGAGGAAGACAATAAAGTGCTTGGCATTGGGTACGACGTAGAGGAGGACAAGTTATATATGATGATATCAATCAGTTGAAGAAGACCTCTGACCCAAGCAGGAATGACATTGGCACTGATACAGGAGCATCAGGGGACGGTAGTTCTATAGAGCCACAGTCACCGGTGGAAATCCAAGGGCCGGTTCAAGTGGTGGAGAAACCGAAGAGGATGCCCTGGGGTGCAGCGCTTGTCAGCCTTGTGGAACCTGAACGGTTCAGTACCCTGTCGAAAACTATGTGGAGTCACAGCCTGGGTTCGACGGGCCGCAGAGACGTGGATGAGCAAAGATAATCAGTCCTCGGGTCAAGCAAAGTGGGAGGCGAAGGTCTCGGAAGTGAGACAGAGTAGGCCTGTGCTGGCCATGGAGGAACGAAAGTCCGCCTTCCAGGATCTCGCTCTGGCAGCCCAGGATGGAAAGGACTTCCGGGGCACGACTCTCAACAGGCTAGTCGTAGCCAAAGACAATGAAACAGGGCTCCTGCTCTGCGGCGGAAGAGTCCAGTCCTGAAGCGAAGATGGAAAGGCAGTACCGCTACTCCCATTCCGAGCGTGGCTGGGGACCCTGCTGGCGAGAGAGGCCCACAAGATAAATCACGAAGGTGTTGCTGCCACACTTCTGCCCATGAAAAAGAAAGCCTGGGTGGTGCAGGGTCGGCGGATAGTGAAGAAGGTTGTCAACGAGTGCATCACCTGCAGGAAACTGAAAGCAAAGATGTGTAAGCAGGTAATGAGTGACCTCCCTCCGGAGCGGGTAAACCCAGCAGCCCCGTTTGAGTTCACCACGTTGGACCTCTTCGGTCCCTTTGAGGTGAGGGACATAGTGAAGAAGAGAACAAAAACGAAGGTCTGGGGAATCGTGTTTTGTTGCATGGTGTCTAGGGCGGTCAACGCACATGTCGTTGACGACCAGTCTTCAGAGAGTTTCCTCCAGTCTTATGCCAGGTTTGCGGCTTTGAGGGGGCATCCTCGGAAGTTGTGGTCGGACAGGGGGACAAACTTCGTAGGCGCCAGGCCCGCCCTGAAGGAACTGCACAAGCACCTGGCATGTCTGAAGAGGGCGTCCGTTGAGGATGTGGCTGCCAGGAACGGCACCGAGTGGAAGTGGGTCTTCTATCCTGCAGACTCTCCCCACCGAAACGGAGCGGCCGAGGCAGCCGTTCGGATCCTCAAGAGAGCGTTTACCAATCTCGGAGGGACCACCGGCAGCTTAACGTGGGGGGAATTCCAAACTCTCCTCTACTCTGCAGCCAACCTGGCCAATGAGCGTCCTATCGACGCCCGAGTTCAGGAGCAGGAAGACGCCGTGGAGTACATCTCTCCGAATTCCCTCATCCTAGGACGTACAGGACAGGGAGGAGACCTGGAGGGGATCAGCTTGAAAGGCCGCTCTTGGCACAGGTTAAAGGCTATCCAGGCCGGAGTAGATAACTTCTGGACAAGCTGGAGTGACTTGGCAGGCCCAAACCTGTTCCTCCGACCCAAATGGCACAGAGCTGCCAGGAATGTCCAGGTGGGAGACCTGGCCTGGATCGCGGACCAGAACACCTTAAGAGGTCAGTTTCGACTAGGCCGAGTTGTAAAAGCCTATCCAGACAGAAGAAGAGTCGTCCGGGACGCTGATATTCGGACCTGTGTGGGCCTTCCTGCCCCCCTCACTGCTGGATCCCAGAAGAGACTGACAGTCCCAGCCCCAACCACCATCCTCTTCAGGGACGTACGGAGGCTGGTGGTACTGCTCCCCGTGGAAGAGCAGTAGAGGCCAGGGACCTGTCCTGAAAGTTCATCAGGTCTGTGAACGGTTGCAGTGGCCGACCGGTTCTGGCTCCGGTTGTGTGGAGACGGGAGGACCCGTCTCGCTTGGCTGGGAGGGCAGGACATCCCTCCTTGGCTTGAAAAAACCAAGAAGTCCCAGACACCCCACTACAAAAGACTCTGGTTTTGGGAGTCCAGGGTGAATTGTGTGGGGTCTCCCTGGATCTAGTGATCGGGAGCCCAAGTGGGAGGTGTGGAGTTAATTTTGGTTGTTTATTCGTTTATTTTCTATTTATTTATTTCAATCAATAAGCATTAAGCTACTTGTTTAGTTGTGCAGGTTATCATGTAAAATAGGTCTCAGTTGGGAGGGAACCTTGTTTCCAGTATTTTGTTTCCCTTGGGAGTCATTTGATGGCCAGCGAAATGTTTGTTACTCATGTTTTGATCAGCCACAGGGCACACGGGCAGCCGGTGAGTGTTTTGGTTTAAATAATGGTGACAGACTTTTGTTGTGTATGCTTTAAGTAATTTGTTTATCATGTGTTTTCTTTTAGGTTGATAACCTAACTTTGTATGGAGGAAGCTAACTTTGTGATGCCATGTGCTACTATGAATGGAGAAAGCACATTGAATAAAACAGCAATTCTACACTAAGCTGAGTAGTCACGCCCCGTGTTGTCCAAACCCTTTCGGTGGGAGTAAACCGAACAGTTGGTGAGACTTTAGATGTGCAATACATCCCCTACCCATTGGCAAATATACTTTTCATACTGTAGTTATACAGTTTAATTAAGTAATCTTGAATATGAGTGGTTAACTCATGGTTCTTTTTTTTTTTTAAGAGCTACAAATAAGTTGTATGAGCTCAAAAGTAGTGGTACTATTTCAGTTGATAGTTAAGAGCAAGTTATGAAAGTTATAAAATCCACTTTTCTGGTATTTTATTTTATCATTCACAGTTTTTTTGTGTCTTTTGACATACTGCACAATAATTGAACATGGTGGTTTGACATGCTTATAAAACCCATCTAAGAAATCTTTAAATATTTGTTCTCTACCTGATAAATGAATGTTTCACAAATTATAATAGCTATTAACAGTAAATAATGCATTAAAATCCACTGGTTTGTAATTTGATATGCTTTAACAATGTTGAATAAAATCATATATCATTCACTTTGCTTTGGAACATGTGCAGTTCACATAACAATACCACAGTGTTAGCTTTAATTTTTTTATCTAAGTTGTCATGCGCCTTTCCTGTGGTTGCATAACACATTATGATGATGTTGATTCTCAGAGGGAGCCTAAGGTATATTTTGGCAACAAAGCTTACAATGTTGGTCAGCCTTGGCAAAGCACAGGATCGACTGCTGAGAGACATGTGAGACAAAGTCAGGGCAGATGTTTTCATTTATTTTGTTTTTACCTTGCACTGCAGGGACAGTAATCTCAGTACAATAGAATAGAATGGATATGTCCTAAAGAAACCCAGCCTGGGCCTGACAGTGAGTTGTTTGGTTACCAAACAAGAGGTTTGGAGAGTAATCTTTCAGCATTCCTGTGTTTAAGTAGTGTTAGGGTTTGTTCAAGTGCATTTCAACAGTAGAGCAATCATTATAAACGTATTATATGACTAACTTTGGTTAGCTTTAGGTTGTCTTTTTCTTTGTAAATGTGATGTTTCGGTGGTGTTGTTTTTTGTTTTGTTTCTTTCCGTTAACTGTCAAGTGGGAACTAAGTATTTTTTGTAGTAAGTTTTTGTGTTTCTCTTATTATCCTATGATACTGTGTGAATAAGAAAATATGAAGGACAGACCATCTATTTCCATTTTGTTTAGAAAGGGGCAGGTAACATAAGATTATTTTGTTCGCCCTGCTCCTTTTCGGTCAATGGTGTCTTAATAGAGACATGTTTTGTAAACAAGTATTATACATTAAGTTGTGCATACCATGAACGGAACAAATAAAAATGAAATGAAATGTTAATGTGACATTTGGTTTATAATTGATGTCTAATAATTTGTTCATACATAAATACAATAAGATTACACTTGATATGCCTTGCTGCAGATAACACACACCAATGTCTGTCAAAAATTGTCCAAACAAATTATCAGAACATTAGGCAGTACTCCCCTTGGTCTGTCTTCTCATAGTTTAAGACAGCGGGGTTCATACTGTATGTAAGGCAGTACAGGCAGTATAGTATACATAACTCAAGATTAGGTGGATTTAATGACAACAATGTACCTTTTGTTGTGTTATGAACATCATCTCATCTCTCTCTCTCATGTTTAAATGTAAATACTTACAATACACATTATTATGTTCTTTCTTGTCTGTAAATAGTTTGTGTGATTTAAATAAAGTCTTTAAAAGCAGAGTTCAGTCCTGTCTAGGAGAGGGAGAAGAATATGTCTTTGGTTGAATCAGATACATAATCTAATCACATATCTGATTATCCAATGAATTTGTATTAGTTTTATAAGAAAGGTGACCATTATATGGTACTATTAAAGTGATTTCACTGTAACTGACCATTTGTGTAACAAGAGTGCCCTCTAGTGGAAGACCACGTAGAAAAGATACTAACGTCTGGACAGAAAGTGCTACTAAAAGCTTGTCATTTTACACACAAACACTCTTACTAACTACATGTTGTTTATGTGACCCTGTGCACATATAGAGTGGAGTCTTCTGGATGTATTTTTGGTTTGAACAATTCCTAGTTGGTCAAATCGGATAAATGTACTCTTATCTTGGTCTTTTGTCTACTCTTCAAGATACTATTTTTTGTATATCAAAAGGTAAAATGTAACTACATATGGTTTTCACATTGACATCATTTGGCAGTTGAAAATGTTTAGGATTAACTGACAATAAAGCAGTGCCATGTTCATATTTGAGGAAAAGAGAAAAACATACAGTGCCCGCGGCTCGGAAAGTCACAAGATTTGAACCACCAAAGAATGTTTTTCTTTTATATTTTTTATAAACCTGAAATGACCTTTAATCATTTCTAGCCCTGCAGAGGGAGTCTGGACACCGGCCAATACATCATCCCCTCTAACACCCACTGCCATATTTCTTATTCTCTTTTTCAGATAAATACGGCACGACTTCAGAAGATGGATTACCTTAAAACTAAAGTGCCACAAGGCATGTGTACAATTGTATTAATTCTTAACAATTGAAAGCTATAACTACAATGTTGTATTATGTTCATTAAACAAGGCTGACCTCATCACCATAATCACAACGTACATGCAGCATATCTTTGAGACCAGTTCAACCAAAGGGATATAGTATTCGATAATTTACGTAATGAAGAAGTAAATTAGCCAGAGAAAAAGAGAAGAGGAAAACATTAACACAGGTTGTAGCAGAAATGTTTTTGTTGCTTCTGTAATTTGTAACTCATCCGTCTTGTGCCCTCTTCCAATCCTCCATATTGTCATGTTGGGCACAGAGGCACTAAACTACCTCCCAAACGACTGTCTAGTATACATTTGAATGCTGTTAGGAATAACACAGTAGTCTCATGATACCTTCGTTCTGTACGTGTTTGTAAAGTGGTGACATGGGTATTGGACCACATTAAACAACACCTTTGTTCTAGCAATTTATGTACCAGCACCGACAGAAATCATGTGATACAAATTATATCCAGCAGAGGGCAGTATTATCCCAAAGCTCAGGTAGTGGGCCAAACTCCACAAGTGTCTTGCCTTGGATGTGGAAAAATATATTGATGAAATAAAGTAGCAACAACAAAAAATAAAATATAGGGTTGGATCAAATCAACTTAAGTAGTGTATTAACGTTTTGAATCAATTTGAGAGGTTATTGGTGGACAAAGCATGAGAGCAAGTCCTAATTGTTTTAATTTAAATGGAAATGAAGTTGGAAAGAAGGAGACAGAATGAGGACCAGTGAGAAAGAAGATAAATGGATGACTGATCCTGTGATGGACTTGTTCGTAGAGGGTGGAGCTGCAATCAGTACTACAGTGTTCTCATCACTTATGTGCTCTTGTGTACATGTCGGCGTTTGTGTGAAATAAATAAATGAAAAAGGTGATGGACTGTATCCTCTAGTTTCACTTCTACTCATGCCTCACTCTCCTCCTTATATGGGTAATGTGTCCCAAATGTACCCTGAACACGCAAACACACACGGGCCGCAAAAGTAACTCAATGTATATCAAACATATTCACAATCAGTGCAAACTATTAGGTACAGTCTAACAGACATCAGGTGAAACCCACTCATTGCAATAAACATAGGCTACAATGTAATAAGTATGTAAATTAATGAATGTATAAATAAACATAAAGTTGCTACACTGCATGATCGGATATAACACCCCTGTAGGAATATTACAGGACCACATTTAAATTGATACACTAAAATGCAGTAAGGCCACTATAATGTAGCCTATTAGTTTATTAAATTACAGTACAATATTTAAATTGATAACAATTTAAAATGCCAAAATAACACAAAGGTCTCTTTAATGTAACCTACAAATTAGTTTAGCATACTCCTCATACATTTCCTAGACCCGGCACAAAGGCACCAATGGAGGTGCATTAAAAAGCAATGGCCAACGGGTAGTAAGGTCAGTAAATGAAGCCCACTATTCACTAACATAAATTAATTATAACATCCCTTTAGAAATATTAGGCTCTATAACAGCAGATAGAGTGCCATTCAAAGAGTAAGACTGTATTTAAGACAATGATTATTTGTAAATCTGTGCGCACAGTTCACAAACATGTTAACAACAATCAGAAATGTGTTCGCACAGATTTACACGTAAAATAAATGTCTGCCATGTGACCCTGCCATTCTTAAACATGTATGTGTGTTATTTCAATTAGTTTGTCATGTAACACATGTGTGTCTCATGTTGTGATTGGGTGTCCCCATTAGCCTGTGAAGCTTAAAGTGTCCTAGTTCTGGAAGGTGGCACACTTACAGCTGGCTCAGCACAGCTCTGCACTAATTATCACCGGGGTTCACATTTGACAGTAAGTTAATTGAATACAAGCTGATGTAGAGCACAGGCTTAAGAGTGTTTTAGTGCGTCTCACATGAGATGGAGGCAGAGAAAGAGAGAGACTGCATCTTTTTACTGCATAGTGTTAAGGTTGTTCATTTACACCTAAAAGATCCAGCACAAACTCCTTCAGCCCTCTACATTATCTGCACTCTGTATGACCTTTCTCTCTTCCCTATTTTGAGTTTTAAGTCTTCTGTATTCCTTTATAGGCATTTAGACCTTCTACTACTTTTCCAATCATGTCTCTTTTATTTTCATCCAAACATTAAATTCCAATGTATTTGCATAGGCTTGAGTGAAAATAGTGTTTCAATAATTCATCCAGTGCCTTTTTGAGCAGCATTCAAACTGACACAGTGGGGATATTGAGGGCTTTGCATGCTCTCATCCTTTTGTCGAAGTCACAGCATGGACCGAAAAATAAAATCGTCCTTTAAAGCCCCAAAACAGTTGTTTTTACATTTTTCCGATGTGCATGACAATTCTTCCTTCCTCAGTGAAACATGACCATTAGCAGTGGAAATATACAGCTATTGCTTCTTTGGCCAATTTAGTGTTTCACTTCAGTAAGAGGAACAGTTGGGTTCATGCTGTTTTATCTTTGTCAGGGGAACTGTCAAATTAAATTTCCCCATTCTGTTCTTACTGACTAACACAGAAAGAACATAAAACCCAACCGTAACGAAGGGAGTAATTGTGAGATTTTGGCACAAGGTAAGGTTTCTGGGATATTTCTTGTTTCAAAATTGCAGTTTGTGGTTAATAAAGTCCATACCTACAATAATAATGTTATTCAAAAGAGTTATAAATCAAAGCACTTTAGATTATATATATCCCAAATGTTGTGAATTGGAATAAAATATATCACATTATTACTTTGGAAGCTACAAAACATTTTTGGGAAAAAAAAATCAATATACCAATCTCGGATGAAAACAGACAAGGTGAAAAGTCAACTGAGAAAGTGATGACACTAAGCCATGTCAGGGTAATTTTAATCACATAAAAAAGGTAATTAAATAGCCAAGACCCCCCATGGCGAACTAGGTTAAGACTCAGTTTGATCCCTGTGCCTCTACATGTCTTTGTTGTATTCTATGCCATGTTGTGGATCTATTTCATTTTCAGTCACGGCAGCTCTGGAGGCTTGTTTTACACACGCTGATGGTGTATGCTGTGTCAGGCATTTTCAGCGTTACTGATATGATTGCCTCTGCTGTCTATTGGGACGTATAAATTCAAAACCACCGTCAGGTCAGCTAACTGTCAGCTAATCGCCACGCTAGTCACTGGACACGTTGCAGAGCTAAGACTTCCTGGCCTCAGCAGGGTCTATATATCTGACTCTGCCATGTTTTCCTCTCCAGCCTCTCATAGCAAGCTCTCAGGTCAGAGAAGCACAACTAATGTCATGCTGTGGATATATTCAGACACTTTACATTTTAAGTGTAAAGCTTGTACAAAATGTTCTGTGTTAGATCATGGTTGGTGTATGGAGACTTTTCCTTAAGCCCCGAGCCTGTTTTCCAGGTCTCAGGCTCGAAAACCAGAACAAATGACCATAACTTCACTTCTAAAAGGGGAAAATTATTAATCTTTTTTCTCAAAGCAATGATAAACCTGTGAGTTGGATGTAGAAAAGTCAGAATCAATATAGATTT